CAGATTCTTTAGCATTTCTCCATACATAATTAGTATATAATAATAATCGCGCAAAATTATCATCAAAATTTGAATTCCGTGCAAACGTCTTTATTTCTTTAATAAGTGGTTCTACTGGAAAAGGATTGACGTGCGTCGACGCCATAGTAAGTACTTGGTTTTTTATTTCATACCGTATGTAAACCCGGCCCATTTTCCTGATACAACCACCTAAAAAATTTAAAAAAATCAACTTAAACATAAGGGTTGCATAATTTTTTCTATTTATAATAAAATTCTATAAAAATTTGAAAATTATTTTAATTAAAATTTTATCTTTTATTAAAAAAAATAAAAGAAATTGTTATTTAGCTAAAATTATTCAAAATATTTTTTGCTTTTAAAAAACTTATCAGCATATTCTTGACATTTTAATGTAAAAAATATTGTACATAAATTTTAACCATTTCATATGCAGATTAAAATATAATTTTTGTGTAAATATAACTTTTTAATTTTAAATATTTTTTAATTATTTTAAGATAAAATTACAGTATCTTCTAGATATAAAAATTAAAATTTGAAAAAAATGTGTCTTATATACTTTCCTTATTGATTTGGAATTTTTAAAGTTAAATTAAAGTTGTTTGTTAAAAAAATTTATTTTTTATAAAAACATTATTTCAGTTGGTTTCAACATTGTTCAATTGCTATATTAATTAAAAATTTTATCTAATAAAAGTTATATGTTTACAAGAAATTAATTTGTTTTAGATATTGTCTTTTATTTTATTGTTTGTTTTTTAAAAGATTGTAAATTACTTTATTTACGCATTATATAGTATACTTCAATTTTTTTTAAAAATTGTTTTATCTAAATTAATATTATTTCTTTGTAGCTTATAATATTTAGTATTAACTAATGACATATGTTATTCATATATTTACAAAAGAAACAGCAAAGATAGAATTTTATACAATAAAAAAAATTATAATATTTTTTCTTACTTATCAACTAATTTCAATAAAATATAAGAATTTATACATCGCTTTCTTGTAAAATATTCTAGTCTTAATAATATTCACACAATTAGTTTTTTTGAGTAAAAGATAATTCATAATAAGTAATGTTTATATAAATTTATAGCCAATTTTTAATTAAATTGCGAAATTTATAAACAACAAATAAATTATTTTTAAACGTTATATAATTTTTTTTAATTTCTATAAGTAACAACAAATGTAACTAACTTTCTTTATTAAAAAATTATTTGTTTGTTTTAACAATAATTAAATTATTGTTAAAACAGTTTTTATTTGTAACGATGGCAAATGCCTGGACGAGGTGTATTATTTTTAGAATATAAAGATGTACATAAAAATGCCGGCGATCGAGTGTACATTATGAGCGACATTTTTCGACATATCGGTCATATTTATGTCTAAAAATAAAAATTTGTTTTTGAAAAAAGGGGGATATTTTTTGTGCATATAAGTAAATTAAAATTTATTAAAAGAATTTTCTTCTAGGATCTATTCGCTTACTTAAATTTATGTAATTAAATTTTTAAAAAAGCATTGTAAGTATTGTAAAATTATTACAAAATGTTATATATTACTTTAGACGTAAGAACAAAATACTATTATTTATTTTAATAATACATTACTTTAAACCTTTTTGTATTAATTACTTCTTGAAAATGTATTTATTGTACAACATTATATATTACTGTCCTTTATTTATCTTCAATTTTTATATAATCATCAAAGTGTAAATACCTTGATATAGTTTTGTTTAGGTATTGTGTTGTAGATCTAAACATAATAAAAATTTAAAATCTATATTTTTTAACCCTAAATGTCCGATTTGTACACCTGGAAGCAAACACTAAATGAAGTACAAATATCCTTTAAACTTGACAAAAATTCTGAAAAAACATCAATTGCATACGAAATTAAAGATAGAAAAATAACCATAAATTATAATGGAAAAGAAATTTTGAGTGGCGTGCTTCTTAAGCGAATTGATGTAGGATCTGAATTTTGGGTAAAAGAGGATGATAATATTGAATTTTTCCTTACAAAGCAGCGCAACGACTGGTGGGATTCTTTATTAGAAGGATCTGAAAAAGTAGATACAACTAAATTGGCGGAAGAGTCTAACCTTGATTTTAGTATGTTAGACCCTGAAGCCAGGGAGGCTATAGAAAAAATGGCGTACGAGTCATCTGAAAAAACTACTAATTTTAATAATTAAAAAATCAATTTATTTATTTTTTGTTTATTAATTATCATTTATATATAGGGTCAATATTTTGTGACATCGGTAAATATTTTATATCAATTATCGCTAATGCAGATGATAATATTCGTAAAAATTTAGTGTGATTATTCCACATTAAAAACCCATTTTGAAAATTATATTTGTGTTTTACAAGTAAATTAAGTTTGACATATGCAGAATCTACTATTTCTAAAATATGCATGTTTACACTTTTATACGATTTGTCTTCTTCTACTAGTCGGTTAAAAACGTCTTGTAACTCTTCTATTTTTCTGTTAGAAGTACGTGCATCAATTAATAACTCTAATGTCCAAGTCTGGGCAGAAGACCTTCTTACATTCGTTATAGATTTGTCTTTAATTAATACATTAACAATATAACATCGTGCCCCATCCCATCGTATAAGAGTAGTTTTTAACAGTGAAATATCACGTACAATATAATTTTCCCCGTCTAAAAATATTCTATCGCCGGGATCGTATGGATGCGTGTAAACAATAAAGAGAAAAGACTCAATGATAACCTTTATAGACGAAAATGCCGGAAGAATAAAAATAGGCAAGCAGAGTTTTATAAGTAAAGGCTGTATATCAAGCCAGCTAGATACAAACCAGTACATTAAAAGTGATTCTATACAAATTAAGGTATAATAAATCTTAGATAATAAATTATTATTGCATTCTATGGCGATATACAAATTTCCTCTTTCGTTATTAATTTGCCTAATATTGTCTCTAAATACAATGTAATTTAACTCTTCCGTGCGATTGAAACTTAAAATTCTGTATGCAATCTCTGATTTATCCTGAAAATGAAATTTTAAAGATTTTTTTGTAATTCGTCCAGTTTTTGGCTGTGTGTGTTGCGCCTTTCTTACTTCTTCGTTTATAGAAATCCACAAATTTGCTTCTTGATCTTTTTTCTGGAATTCGTTAAGGGATTCTTCATCTTCCTGTTCGTTATCAGAGACAATTTCATTTGAATCGCAATGATAAATCGTAGTATCTTTTGCCACTTTCGAATCAAAAGTCGGATTATTTTCAATATCAGGCGATGGAAATAAATATGATTCTGGTTTTACAATTGTATCGACATTGTCACTAATAGATACGCTAGACTCGATTTGTTTCTTAAATGGTGATCCATAAGAGGACTTTACATTCTTATTTACTAGCGCACGCTTATTATACAATCTCGCTTCATTGCTAATTTCTTCTGCCTCAGGGCGTAAATTTATGTCTTCGGCGGTATAAACAGCCAGAGACCTGTCAGTTTGTATTGACTCGTCATTCCACAGATCGAATAAGTAATCAACGTCGACACTAGTTGGTTTACCTTTTTCATAAAATTCCTCAATTGTTAACGGTTTGTAATTTATATTAGATTTTAAAAAAAATGGTTCAATTTGTAATATATCATTAAATATTCCATTAGATAGTCTATTTTTGAATCCATGACTAACTATTTCATAAAAGAAGGCTCTTATTAAATCAATAAGCATTAATATTCCTACACCGGTATACAAAGAATCGGGATATTTTATGTACACGACATGCTGCAAAGTATACACGAATACAAAGATTAATAAGAATTTAAAAAGTCTAAAAAAGGTCTTTACAACAATATTAAAAGTCATTTTTTCTCTTGTAATGTATGTGTAATAAGCTATTATACAATGTAGAGTAGTAAGAGGAATAAATATTAATCTTTTAATATTTAGATTCTGTAATCTAAAAATTACAAGTAAGATGACATCTAAAACTATTGCAGTGAAAAAAAATAAAAGTCTCATTTAGGGGTTACAAAGAAATTTTATTAAGGGGAGATATTAAGGATGTTTTCTTAATTTCTGGTTATTTAATTAAATTGTGTGTGTAGTAATTCAACATAGATTTTTTAACATAATTGTGTTCTATAATATTGTCATGTCTCCTTATGATCTGTAAAATAATGTATATACTTTAAATGGTCTATGATACTACACAAAGAAATAGATAACAAAAAACAAAAAAAATTTAATAAAGCAAAGAAATATAAAAGATGAGTAATGTTATAGTTTATTATAAACTTATTAATTCCTTAAACTAACTTACTTTTCTAAGAAGTAGATAATTGTTAAACAACCTATCGAATGTTGCATTTTTTTATTAAATGTTGATGTAAATTGTTTAACTCTAGTTTCCTAAAAATAATTTTTTTCTAAGACCAATTGTTTATTTTTTAAATAAAAATAAATTAGCATAAAATTAAAATCTTTTTAACCCTTAAAATGGCAACAAAAATTACTGACAATGAAAAAGATAATAAGCCTTCTGTAGACCTATCAACAGCAATTTTAGAAAATACAACTAAAAATGCGTTACTTGTGACTGACCTTAATCATGAGAAATTACAGGTATACGAAGTAGGAATGAATCCTAAAACTATTGAAGACTTAGACTTGATAGTAGGTGATTATGTAACTATAAAAGGAAAGAAATGTTCAGAGGTAGTATTTTTTCTAGTAGAAATGGAAGAAATTCCAGAAAAGTATATTTCTATAAAAAAAGATGGTAGAGTGAATCTAAAAATTAGAATTAATGATGTTGTTAAAATATATCCATGTACATCTATTGGTGTTATAGAACAACTAGTTTTTCTTCCTATTGCTGATACAGTAGAAAAAATTGAAGGTGATCTTTTTAAGGCTTTTGTGGAACCTTTTCTTGAAGATAAATCAATGCCTTTAACAGTCGGTAATCGATATAGAATAAAATCAGGACTTGGATCTGTGGAGTATAAAGTAGTATCATTAACAAATAAAGAAGGTCAAGATATTAAACATGGATTTATAGTAGATGGTACAAATGTTATACCTGATGGAACAATAACAAGGGAAGAAGCAGAACAAGAATTTAATATGATAGGATACGATGATGTAGGTGGATGTAGAAAGCAGTTAGCACAGATAAAAGAACTCATAGAATTACCTTTGAGACATCCTCAGTTATATAAAAAATTAGGTGTTAAACCACCAAAAGGAATTCTTTTGTATGGACCGCCAGGTTCTGGTAAAACACTTATAGCAAAAGCTATTGCAAATGAAACAGGAGCATTTATTTACATGATCAATGGACCAGAAATCATGTCTAAGATGGCAGGAGAAAGTGAAAACAATCTCAGAAAGGCCTTTGATGAGGCCGAAAAAAATAAACCTGCTATTATTTTTATAGATGAAGTTGATTCATTGGCTCCTAAAAGGGATAAAACACAAGGAGAAGTAGAAAGAAGAATTGTATCACAACTTCTTACATTAATGGATGGTGCAAAAGCAAGAGAAGGCGTTATTGTATTGGCTGCAACCAATAGACCTAATTCAATTGATCCCGCTCTTCGTCGTTATGGAAGATTTGGTAAAGAACTTGAAATTGGTGTACCTGATGCAACTGGAAGATTAGAAATTTTAAGAATTCATACTAAAAATATGCGCATGAGTGAAGATGTAGACTTAGTTGAAATAGCAGATGAATTACATGGATTTGGTGGAAGTGATATAGCATCACTCTGCTCTGAAGCTGCTTTGCAACAAATTAGGGAGAAATTGCCAAATATTGATTTGGATTCAGATAAAATTGATGCGGGGATTTTGTCTTCATTAAAAGTGACTAGAGCCAATTTCTTGTATGCTATTGAACAAACAAATCCAAGTTCGTTGAGAGAAAGTAAATTAGAAACACCAAATGTTAAATGGGAAGATATTGGTGGATTAGCAGAAGTGAAAATTGAATTACGTGAAACAATACAGTATCCTATTTCTTATCCTGAGAAATTTTTAAAATTTGGTCTTACTCCCTCAAAAGGTGTATTATTTTATGGCCCTCCAGGATGTGGTAAAACCCTCCTTGCTAAGGCTGTAGCTACAGAGTGCAAAGCCAATTTTATTTCTGTAAAAGGCCCCGAATTACTTACTATGTGGTACGGAGAGTCAGAAGCGAATGTTAGGGAATTGTTTGACAGGGCTAGAGCGGCAGCTCCTTGTGTATTATTTTTTGATGAAATTGATTCAGTCGCTAAGTCTAGAGGGTCTGCTTCTGGAAGTGGAGGTGCCGATGACAGGGTTATAAATCAAATATTAACAGAGATGGATGGTATGAATGCTAAGAAAAATGTGTTTATAATAGGTGCTACTAATAGGCCTGATCAGCTTGATTCAGCTATTATGAGACCAGGTAGACTTGATCAACTAGTTTATATTCCATTACCAGATGCTGATAGTAGAATGTCTATATTAAAAGCAGTACTGCGAAAAACACCCTTAAGTCCTGACATTAATTTGAACCATTTAGTTGAAGCTACTGATAGATTTTCTGGTGCAGATTTAACTGAAATTTGTCAACGAGCATGTAAACTTGCTGTTAAGGAAAGCATTGAATATGAAACTGAAAGAAGTAAACAAGGCAGCAATCTAATGGAGCTTGAAGATCCAGTACCTTACATTTCAGAAAAGCATTTTGTAGCAGCTATGAAAACTGCAAGAAGAAGTGTACAAGAAAAAGATATTGAAAGATATGAAGCTTTTGCAAGATCTATGAAGGTTGACATAAGGAAATATACACAACCTAATAGGAATGTGGATGATGCTGGATTATATGATTAAAATATTGATCTTAATCTTTTATTATTTATTACATTGAGTGCATGATGCTTACATTTTTTAAAAAATTATTTACATTGTATTTAAAAAATTAAAAAACAACTTAATATTAAAAATTAAATAAATTAATTAAATTTTTTATATATTCTTCTAATTAATATTTACTTTATAGAGATTTATTTTAAAATTGTTTTTATGTGCAAAGACACAAAAAATTATTTTAAATTTAAAATTTTTGCCCATCAATGTTTATTATTTTTTTATTAAAAAATTATGGCTGTATATTAAAAGAAAACAATGAAATGGCAATTGTCGAAGTACATCATTCTAACGGCTCTTTAGACAATAGCAATGATGTTAATACAAAGCCAAGTACAAGTAAAGAATCTTGTGGTATAACTATTGATAAACAGGCAAATAGTAATAATGTAGGAACAGTGGAAGAAGATAATAAAAATAAGCGGGAAAATATTACTGGCGAACTTGATTTGGATTTGTGTGATTCATATTCTACAGAAGAATCACCAGTTTCTGTTGTGAAGAGTATATTTATATTTATACTTGTATTGTGTTGTGTTTTAGTACCTGTAAGTCTAGTGGTAGCATTTACAAAGCCTGCTAGTGTATAACATTAAAAACTTTTATATTTATTTAATTAATTTTTTATATTAAACTTATTAAATTTATAGTTGTGTATTATACAACGGATATAATACCATTCCCTGCTAGACTCATAAAAAATTGTTATTCCAAACTAGATTTTATTGGGTCAGATATACAATTAAATTCTTTGTTCTTTAAATTTAAATTTTTTAATTAAAATATAAAATATCAATAAATAAAAATATTATTAAATTCATTTACATGTAATCTAGAAAATCAAATTAATAAGGCATCTCGTATAAAATGAGGAAGATATGAAAGCCAAGCTCACTATTAAAATTTATGTTTAATTCTAAAAGTAATATTTTTTGATTAAATTTTCATTTAATGTATAAATCAATATTTAATATATTTATGTATTTAGATTAAAGGCATAAATCAAGAAATTTATATAACTTCAAACAGTATTTTGTCATAAGAGTTCAAGTCTATGTGATATTATTTGTGAAGGATTTTCTATAAAAAATTTTTGATTAATGCTTTAAAAAATTCTTTATTGTCAGCAGTAATTTACAACATTACCTATAAATAAAAATTTTACAATCGTTAAGTAAAAAATTTAAAGGTACACTTCATGCAAAAAATTCTGTATAAAAGGCTTACTATACATTCTACATTTTATAATAAAGTTAAGTTTTAAATGTACAAATACCATTAATTTGTATACTTCAAAAATAAGACACAAAAAATTTAAATTCTATTGATTTAAATCTATTTGGAATATTTTACAAAAAAAAATAATTATTATTTTTTAGGATGTTATAAATTTTTTTGATTGAAAAAAAAAAAACTTTTAAAATTTTGTATATTCGTCAATATTATTTTTTCAATGTTTATACCTTTGTGTAAATATTCAATTTAAGGGTTATTATAGTAAAATTTTAACTATTTGTATATACTTTATTCTGATGCTGAAGGAAGAAAGATTCGAATTTAACACTACGAAATCGCTAAGTAATAACTTGACGTTGACACAACAACTGTTATTGTATATTTGCCGACACAGTCGTATCCTAAGCTTGGCTGTTTGCTTAAACTAAATGGTGTAAATGTCCAAAAATTGCAAGAAGGCATATAATAGTTTAAAAAGGTAATTGATATAGCTGTATTACATCTGTAATCTCATTCCATCTACAGTAAAAATTACATTTGAAGAGCCGCCCGGTAAAAACGCAACAAGCTATGAAGCTATAGCATTTCGAATCCATAACGATCATTATACCCATATAAGCTTTACCAACCACAATATCCAGTGAATCCCTAGCCTGGTAACGTACTGCCAGTTGTCATCCCTATAATAATATCCTAATGAAAATTAATAATATTTTTTTACCAAGAAAAGCCCTTTGGCATGCTAGTGCTAAAAATGCGCAAATGTTAAGATTACGGAAAAAGAATTTTCTAAGGAAAAAAGAATAAACAAAAAAGTATGGAAATACAAAAAAAGTTTATAATGTTTGAACAATAATTTATAATAGTAATACAGTGATGTAATTTGACCATAAAAATATAGATAATTTTCTAATGCATAAGTTCTAATAACCCGACTTACTACACAAAAACTAAACAATAAATAATTAAATTTTTGTTTTTTTGTTTACTTCAGCAAAATTTACTTAATTAATTTTCTATAAAAAGTAAATAATAATTATGCTTACCAACTTTAATAACACTCTAGTCAGGTACTATCTTTTAAATAAAAAAAGCTTAATTTTTTAAATTTTTATTTATATTAAAATAATGTTGATTTTTTGTAATTTTGTTAAATAGAATTATTTTAAAATTAAAGTAAAAATTGTATAAATTAAATTTTATCTAAACCAGATCTAAAGTTGAATTATTGTCTTTTTTATTTAACTAAGCTAAACTAATTATAAAATACAATTAAATGTTTGTTTTTAAATTAAATCTTTACTTTATTAGGCATTTAATGGATAAAGAAAATTATTTACCCATTAAATGTTCTACCTATTTTTTGTAGCAATAAATAGCACTATTATGGTAGAAGAAACAGATATAAGATCTATGGAACTACTTTATGGTGACAGTTACTTATACAATGAAAATTATAAATATTTAAAACCCAATACTGGTGGTACAAAATATTTCGATAATCCAGCTGAAAGAACAATTTATTTGATTGATATAGAGCATACGGGGGAAAAAACTAAAATTGAAGGACAGAAAGATGTTTTATTAGATTCGGATATGATTAATAAAATAGCTGTTTGTCTAGTAGTTTGCTTTTTTATTTTTTTAGTGATAATTTCATTTTTACTGATACTATACGTAAAAATTTCGATTAAAAATTTTGCTTCTTTTCAATTTACTTCTTAAAGTAAATGTTATTGTTTTTTTAATATCGTACACAAAAATTTTGTTAATAGTCATTAAAAAAAAGCTTTTTTTTAAAAAGTAAAAAAAATAGTTTCATGTAAAATAATAAATCAGGTTTTTATTTAAAATTTACAAAAAAAAATAATCTGAAATATTGACAAACGCAATAGGATTGATTTATGAGAAAAATTATTTTAATATTCAGTGCACAAGAGTTAAATATAATCATCTTTTGAAATAGGAAATATCCATAGACATCTGCTTATTGGCAAATAAACTTAATTAGTATAAAATTTTTATTTATTTAATGCCAACCTGTAAGTGCTTTTCATAACAAAATTTTTTACTTCTTATTGATAAAAAATTTATTCTAATTTTCCAACTAAAATACATAATCACAGCATTTTAATAATCAAAATTTTTATAAGAATTGTATTCTGTAACTATTTTACATATTTTATTGTTTTTTTTGGTTATTATAGTTAACATAAAAAAATAACTAAGATTTTTTCTGACTTCAGGTGATCTTTTTTTATTTTATTAACAACTGTAGCAAGTTGTATATGTTTTCTTTTTATTAATTAAATTGGATGTTTTTATTTATTTTGAGTCAATTGTATATTTTCAATAAATATTGCATAGTTCTTTCATATACGCTTACAAATCAATATTTTTGTTTCTATCTAGATCATTTATTGTAAAATGCTTTTCAAATCAATTAAATGTGCAAATTGCATCTTTTAATTCTAATTATGTAGATTAACATAAATTTTTTTGCCATCATTAATACATCTTCCGTGGGAATAAAAGCTAAGCCGAGCATTATCTTTACTGACAATTTGTAACTTTCGTCAAATGATTTGACCTAGACGAGAATAACAACCTGAAATTATACATTGAAGCACAACGCTTTTTGAAGTTAAAAACTAAAACATGCGAAATCTATATCAAATGTTTTGTTTGTTTTTATTTTGATTTTTATATCATTTACAATAAATTTCATTATATTTTATGCAATATTGATCTTTTTTTCCCAAAACAATACAAAATAAAAGTGTATTTGCCTCTAATTCTTGAAAAAAAGTAAAAAGCTGTTTGAAGTCACTAAATGCATTTTTAAATGTTTTAGTAAAAATGATGACGATGTTGTATTGTAAAAATCTCAGCATATTTGTACCTTTAAAAATTACTGTTTTATTCAAACAATATTATTTCTCTTTTAGCATTAAAAATTGCTGGCCGTCTTATATTTTTGACATTCTAGCGGAATGTCAGATTTTAGTTATTTACTGAAGCTATTTTCGTTCTAGTATTCGTTACAAGGTCTTTAAGTATTCTTGACTTATATACTTCTAAAAGACATCCTTCCTTGGTAATAGCATAAAAAGCTACATCAATGAGTGTTTAAAGCGCCCTTGTTTAAACTTAATTGCTAATACTATTAGAAAAAGCTTTTCAATTGTCTTACAACTGGCTATAGTTTGATAGATAACGAAATTTATCATTCATATTATTACATAAAATATCCAGAACATTCTTTTTTATTACATCTTCAATATTTTACTTCACAGTTCACCCTTACAAAATTATAAAACATTCCTTCATATGCCATTTTAAGCTTATTTCTGCTATTAGGAATCATATTTGTGGTATTAATTACAACGTGGACCAATAAGTAAGAGCGTTTCGGTAAAATACCAATATATTAACAATATCT